TTTCCGAATTGGATTTTAATCATCCAATCAAGATATATGAATAAAATGATGGAAGGTCTCATTCTGAAATCGTAGCAGGGATCATCTGACTTCATAGTCTATTTTCACCTTCTTCCTCTCCTATTATCGCAATGGTGTCTTCGTATGATTTGTAGCCCTTGAAGTTGGCTTTCATATGCACTTTGAATCGTGTTCTTTGGATGCCTCTACAAAGAGATATTCTTGAACGATTGACATAAAGTCTTTCTGAACGCCGTGTTCAAGCTCTATTTGTCTTCTTTTGATTCTGTAGCCAATCCTAGAGCTCTTTTGTCATCAAATCTGCATTGTGAACCTCCCAGTAACCTCCAAAGCTCTCAATTCACTCTCAAATGCTTTTCGAATCATCCCGATTGGTCCTCAAGCACCGATGCCGGACTCTAAATTCTTGATTTTTACTCCAAATAACACAAAACTCGAACCAACGCTCGATAAACATAATTTGAGCTAAAATTGAGACTTGTGACACTTAAATGTTAGGAAAAACATCAAAATTAAATCCCAACACGCATCAAATGCGTGTTGTAATACGGACTTATCAAGGTGTTTTAACTTCCATTAAATTACACATAGGATGAGTGAGTATGTCTCTTCCTCATGGCGGGGTTAGCCCCTAGAATGTAAACTACGATAGTAAGGACGAGTAGTCCTTGAGGTATGTGAAACTCATGGTAATAACTTTAAATGATTGAATATGCTCGGTCGGGAACGAGTTCCCGATAGAATATTTTCCTTGGACTAGGATGTGATTTAAACCATGTCCGTGAATGGGAAGCCCGAAGGGTCACACACTGGTTAATATCTTTTGATATTGGGTGAGTTAGCCTGCGGGTGACTTCACCCGAGGGTAAGACATGGGAAGGGTGAATTTAATGGCGTTCTTATGCCAGAATGTTTTGAAAGACAAATGGGCCCACGGGCCGGATATTTGACTCATATGTATATATGTATACGATATGGTTTGAAAAAGGGTAGCTAGGAGTTGCACCCATAAATATATTATCACCCCATGTTGAGGGTCCTATGTATAAAACGTTAGTTATGTTACATATAGTTGCTCTCGCCAGTACGTTTCTGTAGTACTACCCCTCGGGGAACCACCATTTTAGGTTGAAGTTAGAGCTTACTTCATGTACTCGTTGTTCAGGAGATCGATGGAGAGAAGACGTGGTTCGTGATTTCTCCGGTTCTATTTCTAAATAATTAAATAATGCTCATGGAACTATTTTGACTTATAAATTAATGGAGCCCGCGAGCTCTTGTTTTGCTCTTGTGTGAGTTCTTATTAAATACTTATATTCCGCTTTGTGTTTAATTGTATGTTGATGTTGTTAAGTATGTTTACTTATCGGTTTGGAATAAGTATCTATCGGACGTCTTGTGCAATTCGGTAAGGATGAACTGCGTTTATTCTTATTGGATTGTACAACGGTTGTCTACGTGGAACATACATGGTCTGGGGTGTGACACTTTGGCCTTATGGTAACCATCAACGACCTCCACCGGAAAGACCGTCGTGCTTTCGGCTTCGACAGAGTCCCCGGTGAAGCCAGAGAGCAGCGTCCATATAGGGCTCAAGGATGATGATCAAGGTGTAGTTCCTTGAAGGTGTTGATGTACATGACATTGATCAAGCTGCTCGTGTCAATGTAGTTGCAATGGATCACCACATTGTTAATCTCACACTACACAACGAGGGTGTGTTTGTGGGATGAGAGGCCCTTAGGCAGATCCCTATCGGTGAAGGTGATAGAATCCGTCTTGAATCTCTTCTAATGAGGGGGAGCATGGGTCACTTCACCAACGTGTAGGGATTGAGCCCATTTCTTACATTGGGTGACCGAGTCTCCCCCCATGTTTCCCTGATAATCATGTGGATATGATGCTTCCTAAGATGCTTCTCCTCGAAATCTTCATCATCAGAGAGGTTACCAATCTCCCTCTTTTAGGCAGGGATCTCTCCCCCTTGACAAATTGTGAGAGTTGGCCCTGCTGAATGAGCCTATCAATGGCTGCCTTGAGGATGTGGCAGCATTGGTATCGTGGCTGCATCTCGGATCCCTTACCACCAGTCCTCGCTCCGCCACAAAATCCAGTGTGGTGCTTATGGGATGCGTGAGGGGGGTCCTTGATGGGTCCAAGATCTGGGGTGCCCTCCAAGTTGTTTTCCACATCCGGTGTCCCTCATATCCGGAGCTTTCCCGCCGGGGTGCTTGATGTTGTTGCGTAGGCGGGGTCGTATCCTCGATTGGGTGTTGCCCCTCCCGCCTCGGCTGAGGGGTGATGTGGGCGGGTCCTTCGCCTGTCCTTGTGCTAAGGGCTCATTCGCCGCGATGTGGAGGTCTCCCCGTGGGAGTGCTTTGATGCATGACCTCGAGGTTCGTTATTAAGCTCCTTACGTAAGGGCTCGGGCATAGCACTCCCTATAGGAGGACTTACAAAGTCATGTTGTCTGCACCTTTGACTTTCACCGTCTTGTGTTGCCAATGCTCCAATAAGTCTTGAAACATCTCATCCTTCTTCTGTTTTATGCTGAGTAGGTGCGAGAAATGTTTTTGTTGTGTCTCATGCCAGCAAAGTGCGTTAGAAAATGTCCCGCTAGATCCCGCCATGAGTCCACACTACCCTCCGGTAGGGCGTTGAACCATTCGTATGCCGGTCCTTCCAAGGTGGAGATGAACACCCAACACAGGTACTCTTCGGAGGCGTTGAGCATGAGCATGCCATTTTGGTAATGGGTGATATGCTCTTGTGGATCACTTCGACCGCCATATGCTTTGATGGTGTGATCACGGTCCTTGTCCGGGATGGGGATAGAGAGGACCCTGACAGTAAAAGGGGTCCTTGTCCTAAAAGGAACAATGGGTGCATCCGACCGTCAGCGACATGTTTTTCCAGATCCGTAATCTTGCGCATCAGGGCGGCGTAGCCGAGAACCAAGTTGTTCCACGGCGTGCTGAGCATGCTGGTCATGCTGCTACTTTGCCTCCATCTGCGCCAGGCGCCTCTCCAACTGTTGGATCACCTCGCCCTGGGATCCTTGCTTATTGTGGCGGCGGCCGATTGCTGCTCTAAACTCAGGCAGCATGGGCTTGGTTGATCTTGTGTCTAACGTCTTCTCCGTGGAGCTTCCCTTTCCCTTGTCGAGACGCTGTTGCTCCGCTGTCCGGGAGACGGACCATGGGGATCCTGACCTTCTGAAGCCACCTCACCCACCAATCATCTCGAAGACCGACCTCCGGTGTGCGTTCCCCAACCTGTTGAAAGACGAGATGAGATCACGTTATGTGTTGAGTGGTTGCTTCTGAGGGGCCATTTTAGATGAGGACGTTTCCTAAGCGAACAACGTTATCATTATTTCCGAGTTGCAGATAACTATTGGGTACCACTGGTGGATGGGGCGGCAGAGGTGGTGTTGCTGTATTGTTTCCCCCAGTCTAGAGCAATAGGAGCACACTCAATGTCGTGGGGTTTTGAGCTCGCTCGCCAGGATGACGGAGACAGCCACCTAAATATCCACATGAGGGATGACTGGGACCATCCGCAGTGCAGCGTTGGCTTCGTTACTCTTATGCTTGCCATCGAGGAAGGTCCGAGCATCAGGCTGGTTGGCGTTGATCTGCCCATGAAGGTCAACCTCAGGGTCGATGGTTTCCTGGAACTCCTCGGCATTCTCTAGTTCCATTTCGTTCCCTGATTTCTCCTGCTTGAGGGCTTTTGATGTGTAGATGGTTTTGATCTAGTCTTTCTCATCTTCCGAAGTGTTAGTAACGCCTTGTAGCGAAGAGGGGTACTAAACTTGATTATTCTTTTTTCTCAACGAGAGCATCAAATGATAGCTTCCTGGTAAACACCGCCGGTGGTATTGCTTAGAGAGAATGGAGAGCTAAAAAATATAGAGAGAGAAAGAGCTTGCAATTAATGAATTCTAAACCCCCTGCAACTACAGGGGGAGGATGTATTTATAAAGGAAATATGGGTTGGGCTCCCAGGTCTTGGGCCTAGGAGGCCCGATTACAATAATGGGCTACTAATGAGCTGTTTACATTTGTTCTAACCCGTTAAGGGCATTTGATGGTCTCTGCTGGTGATGGGGCCGAGTTGCATGGGAGCACATCAGATGTAGCGCTAAAAATCCCTAGGTGAGCTTCTGGAGGCATGTGGCCGAGGTGCACTCCTCCGAGGTGTTGGTACGAACACAAAAAGTGTGTCTCTTAATTCTAGACCAGGCTCTTCTGCTGGGCTTTCTGGTACCAATGTAGATTTGGGCTGTGTATATATCCAAGAGTATATGGGTCGTGGGTCCGAGCCCATACACTCTATCACTTAAATACTCTATTTGTGCCTTAAAATTTTGTCAACTTTTGTTTTGTGATTATCCTATTAACTTTGTCACTTTTTCTTAAAATGTTAATTGTTTCTTAAAGTGGAAATAAAAACCTTTATATGAGACGTCAAGAAAAGGAAAGTGAGAATCTTGTAATGGGACAGAGAGAATAAATAAGATATAAGTTATTACTTCTTTGATCGAATTGATTAAATTATACGAAGTATTTATGACCGAATTGACTGAAGTTACATTTCTACTCGAATTGATTGAAGTTATATTTTTGATCAATTTAGTTACATCTTCAAATATTTTAAAATTTATTAATAACATACGGAGTATATTATACTCCCCTCCGTGCCCAAATGAAATTCACATTTTTCTTTTTGGATAGGTCCAAAATAAACTTCACATTTTTTCTTCCTTTCTTATTTGGCAAAACAGTGGTAAATAGTGTCACAACAGTGTAATCTACAGTAAAATCAAATTTATTTCCTTAATTTATGTGAAATGAAAGTGTGCAATTTCATTGGGACCTGAGGGAGTAAACGTTAAGGAATTGAATGTCAATTTCATGAGTTAATCAATTACCCATTGAACCTATTTGATACTCATCAAACGTACTGTGCGTTAGGGTTTCTTATTTTCCACCATCACTCCCTGCCGAAGCTTCGCGATTTACAATGGCGTCTCCAGCCGTTGCCGCTGCCCCAACAACAGCCAGGTCCTCGTCGAAGACGGACACCTTCATGGACAACAAGCGGAAGGATGATATCCGCATGGTCAACATCGCGGCGGCGCGAGCGGTGGCCGATGCCGTCAGGACGAGTCTCGGCCCCAAAGGAATGGACAAAATGATCTCCACGGCGAACGGTGAAGTCATTATCACCAATGACGGAGCCACCATTCTCAACAAGATGGATGTCCTCCAACCTGCCGCGAAGTTCCTGGTCGAGCTCTCGAAATCTCAGGACGTTGTCGCTGGAGACGGTACTACCACAGTCGTCGTCATTGCTGGCGCTCTCCTAAAGCAATGCCTTTCTCTTCTTTCAGCAGGTATTCACCCTACTATTGTTTCCGAGTCGCTCCATAAGGCTTCTACCAAGGCTGTAGAGGTCCTTACGGCTATGGCGATCCCTGTTGAGCTCTCTGACCGTGATTCTCTCGTCAAATCCGCCAGCACCGCTCTAAACAGTAAGGTAGTCTCTCAGTATTCAACTCTTTTAGCTCCATTAGCCGTTGATGCTGTGCTTTCTGTGGTGGATCCTACAAAACCAGATCTTGTTGATTTGAGGGATATTAAAATTGTCAAGAAATTGGGTGGAACTGTTGATGATACTGAGATGGTAAGAGGTTTGGTTTTTGATAAGAAAGTTAGCCACGCCTCAGGTGGGTTGACTCGAATTGAGAAAGCCAAAATTGCTGTGATTCAGTTTCAAATCTCCCCTCCTAAGACCGATATTGAGCAGAGCATAGTGATCTCAGACTACACTCAGATGGACAGAATTTTAAAAGAAGAGAGGAACTACATCTTGGGGATGATTAAGAAAATCAAAGCCACTGGCTGTAATGTTTTGTTGATCCAGAAGAGCATTTTGAGGGATGCTGTTACAGAGCTGTCCCTCCATTATCTTTCCAAGGCAAAAATCATGGTGATTAAAGATGTAGAAAGAGATGAAATCGAGTTCATCACAAAAACATTGAACTGCTTGCCCATTGCAAATATTGAGCATTTCAGGGCAGAGAAACTTGGCCATGCAGAATTAGTAGAGGAGATATCACTTGGTGATGGCGGGAAAATCGTGAAAATTAGTGGAATTCAGGATATGGGAAGGACTGCATCTGTACTGGTTAGAGGATCCAACCAGTTGGTTATCGATGAGGCAGAGAGGAGTTTGCATGATGCATTGTGTGTTGTGAGATGTTTGGTGAACAAGAGGTTCTTGATTGCAGGTGGTGGGGCACCTGAGATTGAGCTTTCACGGCAGCTGGGTGCTTGGGCTAAGGTATTACAGGGGATGGAGGGTTACTGTGTGGAATCATTTGCCGAGGCTCTTGAGGTGATTCCATATACATTAGCTGAGAATGCTGGACTGAATCCAATCACTATTGTGACGGAGTTGAGGAACAGACATGCACAGGGTGAGATCAATACTGGGATCAATGTGAGGAAGGGACAGATAACTAATATTTTGGAGGAGAATGTTGTGCAGCCACTCCTGGTGAGCACAAGTGCAATTTCTTTGGCAACTGAATGTGTCCGGATGATTCTGAAAATTGATGACATTGTCACTGTGAGGTAGATAAGTCTTTGATTAGACATCTTATGTAATCTTCTATTACTCTCGCTTATTCATCTTATTTTGGAGTACTTGATGTTTTTATGAACTTTAAAAGGGAACGATTGTTGTTTTGTTTTTAAGTCTACGTAGCTGCTTCCTAGAGTTTTTATCTTGGTCATTTGTTTGTTCTGTTGCATGGTTTTAGTATGGATTTGAATGTGATATCTCTACGAGGTTTGGAACTAGTTTTTCTTGTTGACTCTTAAAAGTTGCACATGCCACTGTTCCCTAGCTTTCTCCCTTCATATTAATTGAAGTTTATTCTACTTATTGTGTTTAGATATGATTTTTTTCACTTTTGATCCCACAGTTATTAGGCCATTGAAGCCCTTCACATTTTGGTCTCAGATCACCATTTTTTCTATTTCTGGACCAACTATGGATTTATTGCGAGTACGAATTTTTTGATTGCTTGACCGGCTAACTTTTATCTAACTACACATTTACTAGTTTACATTTGTCAGAAGATACTGGAGGGGATCAAAAGCTATAAAGCCCTAAAAGCCATTGGACCAAAGTGGATAATTTGTAGTATTTGTAATTGCGCAGTGCCTTCGTGTCTTGAGGGTTCGACTTGGTGATTTTTTGGCAAATATGCATCAAGTTGAGTCCCAATTTACGCAGTTTGACTGAGGTTTTACGCCTTTTGGTCTGAGACTACGCATTAAGGCTTACACAATGAGGTAGGATTGAATCATATACAATTGCATTTTTTATATTTTAGTTAAGTAAGTTGTACCTACATAAAAGTAAAACCATTTTTTCTTCTAAAACGTCTCCAACCTCTTCACCTATCTTCTTAGCCATTCACCTCCTTTTCTGCTATGCGATAAGCCTGTAACTCCTGTTATGTGAGTTTTATTCTCTTTTCTCTAATTCTTGTATGCGAAGAACTCTTTTACTTATTCCAAGTTAATAATAGGAAAAATTGCTCTAAATAGGGCTGAATGAGGTTTGTAATTCCAAAGTAGGACTATAATGTTTTTCTTTCCGAAACAGAAGTTGTTACTGTCATGTATGGAATATACTGCTATAATTGAAAAATATTGCCATTAATTATAATAAATATTATCACATGAAATGCATCGTACTGCAACTATTTGGCAGTCACGTCGATGATGGTAAATATTGTCCTTTTAGTCCTATTTCAAGAATAAAAACATAGTAGTCCTATTATGGATTTTCAAACTTCATTTACTCATATTTTGGTCAGGCCTAGGCCCGGGCGGGCCGATGGTTCAGGAGTGGTGGACTCGGGACCGACCCGGGTAACCATCGGGTCCGGTCCGGGGCCGGGCTGGGCCCATTATCAATTTTTTTTCCCTTTCCTAATTAACCCCCCTCCCACCCCAATCCTCCAAACCACCCCAAATGACCCAAAATACCCAGCCCAACCCGAAAATTAAAAAAAAAAAATAGTTTTGGCCCGAATCGGGCTCGAGCCTGGCCGGGTCGGGCCTTGTTTTGGGTGACTCGAGCCCGGACCGGAAAACCCACGGGTCGGGCCTACCCGGACCGGTCACTGACCGGGCCACCGGGTCGGGCCGGGCCGGAACAGTGCCGGTCCCGGGCCGGTTCCGGGTCGGGCCACTCGGCCCGAGTCCATCCATAGCTATAACTTGTTTAATGTTGTATGATAGCACAATAACATGCAATTAGACCTGAACAAAACCGGGCCGGCCTGCCCGGCCTGCCCGGCCCGCCCAGCTCGCCCGCACAAATGGGCGGGCTTGGGCATATATATTTACACACCGGGCCAGCCCGAGCCTGGCTCGCAATAAGATATGGGCGGGCTTGGGTTAGGGTGTAGGCTCGTTCGGGCCGATAAGCCCGGCCCGCTACATTTAGTATATATAAATATATATATATATATTTTTATATATATACTAATTTATTTATTTATTTATTTGCATATACACATGTATATTAATATTTACTAATTTTTCTTTATACATATTTATAGTTTATTATGTTTAAATTTAAATTTTTAGTTCTTAACTAGTGATGGACCCGGGTCGGTCCGGTTCCGGTTCCTGGCCGGGCCCGGGCGGGCTTTTTTTGAAAATCCTTGGGCCCGGAACCGGCCCGGGTAAATACCAGGTCCGGGCCTAACTGGGCCGGGCCGGGCCCGGTTCAATGTCTATTTTTTTTTGCTTTCCTTTTATCCCCCGACCCCCCCACACCCCCACCCCCAAACCTCCCCAAAACACCCAGCCCTACCCTAGGAAAAGAAAAAAAATTGAAAAAAAATGACCCGGGCCCGGCCCGAACCGCTCGGGCCGGTTCGCCCAAAACTGGGTCAGAGCCCGGCTCGCCCGACCCGCCTAAACGGGCTAAAAGCCCGGAACCGGCCAACCGGTCCCGGTTCGGTCCGGGCCCGCACAGTAGCGGGCCGAGCCGGTTCCGGGCCGGGCCGGCCCGATTTAGTCCATCCCTATTCTTAACAACTAGCCCAACAATATAATATCTATTTTTGTACTTAAAGATAATACTTTGTGCTTAAATTTTAAATTTTAGATATAGTTTCTCATTATTATTTTTGTGTAAGTTTTTTTTGTATGTGGTGAAAGACGTATACACATTATAAGCATATTAATTATTTTCTAAATGTTGTAATATTATTTTTAAAGTATTTAAAAAATCATATAGTTTTGAAAAAATTAAAGTATTCCCGGGCGGGGCAGTCCGGTGGACTACCCGGCCCGCTCTTATGGGCGGGTATGGACATAGGGTTATGCCTGTTTTTGCGGGCCGGGCCGGGCCCGCCCACGCATGATGGGCAGAAAATTTATAAAAAGCCCGGCCCAAACCCAGCCCGAACCCGTTTTTGTACAGGTCTACATGCAATTCTCTTCACTCTCCATAGTGTTTTTCTGCTATGTTTTCCTTTTCCGTTTATAATGATGATGGTAATGGTCGAGGTGACTTTTGGCGATGGAAATTGTTATTGCGGATTCCATGCTGAGCTTTATCTCATTTAAAACTTCTTCTTTCCTCCCTTATAACTTTGTCATCTTTCCTTTTTTGGATGTCTCAAAAACTTTGACGCTTTTCCTTTTAATCAATGAATTTGTGGTTTCTATCATTTCTCTCTCCTCTGCACATATCTCAACCACACAATTTTTATTTTACTATTTCCCGTATCGGTCAAACATGGCAAAGAATTGAGGGACGAAGGGAGTACTACATATTGATGACCCCACTTTTCATTCTTCAATTTAATCAAGGCTGCTATGATTAGGCAGTATTTGCTACTCATTTTGTTTTGTTAAGACTATTTCATCTTTCCTTTTCGTTAGGTCCCTCTAAGATTACCTCAAATCAAATTTGGTAAAGTTTATGTGGTTCTAAATCATTCCAACTTTATTCTTAATTTATTAATTCAATATCAACCATGTAATCTCACCATTCCTAGGATGTTTTCTATTGGATTGAAATTTGGTGGTTTGGTTCGATCTGGTTTGGTATGGTCTGTTTAAGTTTGGTCTGCTTTAAAAGTGTCTGGTTTAGTTTGGTAAATGTCTGGTATCTGCGTATTTTATAACTGACCAAGTCAGATCTGTTCTAGTCTGATCTGTTCTGTTTAAGTCTAGTCTGGTATGATTTCATTTAGGACGGAAAATAATCCAAAAGAAGATATTCTTAATAATCAAATTAGTTCTTCATGTACAATTGTTAGTGGGATGAAGATAGGAGGAAATGATGTTTGAAGTTACTATTTTGATGGTGTTCTCCGTATTGTGTTTCGTTTTGACTTCAAATTTGTTTAATTTTGATGATTGTTATCCTAAATAAACCCACATACGCACAATTTATCTCCACATAGCGGCGGTCCATTGATGTACTAGTATTAAATTTGATTGCAAAACCAAAGTTACATTCATTTTTGAAAAGGAAAGTTCAGAGAACTAAAATAATTTGAAAATTTCAAAATAGGACTGTCATGTTTTTTATTCCCAAAACAGGACTAATTACTGTCATGCTTGTAAAATACTGCCATGTTTGAAGTATGGTATTGCCAAAACATGGCAGTAATTAGTCATATTTTCGGAATAAAACATGGCAGTCATATTTTGGATTTTTCATATTGTTTTAGTCCTATTTCGGGTAATATTCTCTTTTTGAAACAATGACTAGGATATCACTTCTAGAGTTTCAATATATAAAAATATGATCAAGTGTGGACAAAAAACTGACTAAAATTGGAATGAATGGACTGAAATATCCTCGACCCTAATTACCCGTCCGAGTAGCGCACGACATTTCTTAAGCTCAACAATTCATCGAGGACCTGCTCTTCTCTCCTGCTCTGCTCTGCTTTGCCCTTTTGCTTCAACAATAGTAACGGGGGCACCACTGACGGCATCCACCGTCTGCGACGTCATGAGGAAGATTGTCGCCATCTCCCTCATCATCGCCGTTGCCTATGCCCTCTTCGTCGCATGTGAAGATCTAATAATGACGGAGACAGAGCCGTTCATTCGTTGATGGCAACTTTGGAACGGATTTGTTGGCAAGCAAAGGTTGTGCGAAAATATCTAGGGCGGGACGGGACAAGAGCGGTCCTTAATGGAGCGCCGCCGATGCTAAATCAGAAGTCCTCGATGAACGGCGATTCTGGTCGCCGCGACTGGCGGAGGTGCAACGAGGGTTTCGTGGAGGTGCGGTGGTGGTATGGGTAGGCCTTTGGGAAAATTGGCCGGAGAAGGGGTTGGGGGCGGTGGAGGGGAGCACAGTAGAGCGTAGGGCTATGGGCGGGTCGTCGGGGCGGTGGTGGTGGTCGGAGGGGAGGCTGTGACAGTTGAGGGCTGGTTGCAATGAATGGCGGTGATGGTCATCGTCGTTGCGTCACTCCGGCGATGTCACTATGGCCGGAGTAGCCGTGTCACTGTGGCCGGAGTAACTGTGTCACTGTGACAGGAGTAACATGTAATCGCGTCACTATGGCCGGAGTAATTGTGTCACTGTGACCGGAGTAACCTGTAATTGTGTCACTATGGCCGGAGCAACCTGTAACCGTGTCACTATGGCCGAAGTAATCGTGTCACTGTGGCCGGAGTAATCGTGTCACTGTGACCGGAGTAACATGTAACTGTGTCACTATGGCCGGAGCAACCTATAACCTTGTCACTATGGCCGAAGTAATCGTGTCACTATGTCTGGAGAGTGGAGTTAATATGTCACTGATAATCTTGTAATTTCTATGTTTATGTTTATGTTTTTAATTAGTTTTGATTGATTGTACTCTGGAAATTACACATTTTTGGTGTAATAGTTTA